TTGTCTGACATTTTGGAGAGTTATGAATTTTGTCAGGTCTCAATGATTTCTGGGCAACACTTATGTTCATTTGGCCCCTCACCCCTCCATTTACATTACGTTAGTGCAGTAAAGGAATCGTGGCCAGACCTTAAAGGCCTTTTTCCTCTTTTTTCCCTCTTTTGTCCCCAAAAAATGATATATTAACAGGAAGTGTGTGATTATTTTTTAGAATTCTGCTTCTGTCCAACATTTATTGGACACTGCAGTGTGCACAAATAAAAGCAGGAGAGGGATAATGGTCATTCTTTACATTCTGTAACCACCTTTAACTGTATTTCTCCTGCTACACACACACACACACACACACACACACACACACACACACACAGTATTGTTTTCATGCAACATAACTTTTTCTGAAATCTGTGCATTTTCATCTTCTTTTCTTACTCTTATCTCTTAGTATAGCAAATAAATGATAAATGAGATAAACAAGGTGTCTAGATTGTGATAAAATGAAAACTGATGAAAGTTTTGTGTTAAATGTCACACAAACGTGACAGTCAATATGCTACAAACTACGCTAACGTTAGCTGAGTAACTTAAATTAACATTCTGCCAACATTTCTCACTGCCCACCTGCTCAGACATCTCCCCATCCGCATTAACTAGCTTTTGCATATCTTGGTTCTCTGCAGTTCTTGCCGCTACGGTTCATCTTCACACAATTTACGTATGAAAATTGTGAAAACAGTAGCAAGTTAACTAGGTTAATAAACTCAGTGGAGCACTGTCTGCTGTGTTAGCAACACCACGTCATCGTGCTTCATTTGAATTTCCATTCCACCTTAAATAGTGCTGCGTTTACCTGCTAACGACTGAACAGGCGTCTGCATGAAAGTGCTACATCATTTCATTTTACGACATAAACACATTTGGATGTTACGTGTATAGTTTCAGCGTTTTGCTCAGAGTTTGTCATTTTAATTCTTGCGCTGCTGTCAGGCGTATCGTAGCAACGCTGTCAGCACTTCTCATTGGTCCTGAATCACAATCTGTTTGGGTCCTGAACATAACATGACAGACAGGCTGAGGGAGAGCAGTGGGGTTTCCTTCTGTCTCAGACAGGACTGTCTGAATAGTCTAACCTGTAATATTTCTGTCCCATAGATTTACACTAAACTGATTCCCAAAAATATGGAACAAAGGGCATCCTGTATCAGTTCTATATTGATCACGTCTTTTAGTTTCCAATTAAGGGATGATTCCTTATTTTACAGGACGGTCAAGTCAAGTCAAGAGGCTTTTATTGTCATTCCATCTATGTACAAGTACACAGTGGAGTGAAATTACGTTCCTCCAGGAACAACACGGTGCAACAAGGAACAAAAAGTACAAAGTGCGAACGTGCAGACGTAAGTGTGCAAACAAAAAATTAAGCTAGAAAACAATACAATAAATACTATAATTCTAACAGACATTAGACACAGTAAACAGACAGGACAGTGCAGCACCGACACAGCACTCATTTCTGAGCCTGAGGTAGTGGAATAAGGTGCAGAGGTATTTAACATGCTGTGATCTGTGAGTTTACACAGTCAGATAACATACGTGAGCACAGCAGTTACTGAGGTAGTAAGACAGAGTAAACACAGCATTAGCAGCAATGTTCCAGATAGTGCAAGTAGTGCATCAAAAGAGGGGTGTTGGAGGGGGGGGGTTAGTTCAGCCCTTGTGAATTTAAAAACCTGATTGCTTGAGGGACAAAGCTGTTGCAGAGTCTGGCAGTGATGGCACGGATGCTCCGGTACCTTCTGCCAGACGGTTGGCAAGACATTACCTTCACTTTTCTTGTATCACAGTTAAGTACATGATTTTGGGCTGATAACACTATTGTGAAAACTGCAGTTGCTCCGTTTGCCACAGAATCAACATGGAACTTTCTTGCTCTTGTACTTTTCTCCCCTCCACCCCCCCTATAGAAAGGTGCTCTATAAATAGACTTGCCTTGCCTTTATGTTATAAACCAGGTGTGATGAATTGATAGTCAGGACCCTCCAGGACCAGAGATACCCACTCCTACTATAAACCTTGATTACTTGATGCAGACTTTCGTATTATTCATACTTTTGTAAAGTGCTGGTTTAAAAAAAGTGGACATTGCTTTACTGATGCATTAATAATGTAAAGAGAGTTGACTATTTTTGGGCTTTTGCTGTCATGTATTAAGTGAATCTCACCTTAAAATTGGAAATTTAAAACAAACATCCTAAAGCCTTCATGCGCTGTTAACTGATCCAGCACTGATCTAATCTAATAATATACAGGAAAACACTTAGATACAGGTGAGCACTTCAGCATGTACTTGGAATGACAAAGTTGAACTGAACTGAATTCATAAACATCTCAGAATTGAATTAATATTCTTAAATTTGTTTTTATAAAACATAATAACGTAAAGAAGATAAACTTACTTTGACCAGAGCTGATCAGAGGTAGGAGGACACCCAGCAGAACGAGCACAGACTTCATTTTACTGTGAACATTTTAGCACAACCTGTTAGCCACCTTCACAACTTACACACAGCTGACAATCACATTTAACGTCAGTAAAACTAAAGTGGCTGTAAGTGATGAATAAGAAGTGTGGATGCTCACCTGGTAGTGAAGCTCTACAGTCACTCAGACTCTCCAGACGTCTACAGAATCTTTCTTGACTCCTGTGACCAGTTAGATCTATTTTCCTGCTGTTTTTACAGGAGAAGGTCTAAAGCTGGTGCTGCAGCTTCTGCATTTATAGCATGCTGTTTTCATATGGAACGCCCTGCTTCATATTTCAGCTCTTGCACAATCTGCAATAAAAAAATTTTCCAATCCCCTACGGGAAGTTTTTCTTCAGAGAAACAGTTCTTCCAGAGTATCTGTGTAATTCTGTTTAAAAAAAAAAAAAATGTTTGCTACAGAAAAACAGGCTCGCTATGAGGGAAAAAAGCAGTTTAGAATTTGGTTTCCAACGAGTGCCTCCTTGTTCTTCAGGTGTTAGTCAGCTTAGTGTTTGCAAAAGATCCACACACACACACACCTCCACATGTTTCTTTAAAATTCATAATGATCTGACACTAATTCTACAGATTTATATAATTTTGTTTCTATGCTTACTAATGACTCATTAGCTATATAAACTCTAATAACTGTGTAGTTACATATTAATAGTGGTGTTGTATTGGTGTTGCTGGTGATATATTCACTGTTACAGATGGATTACGGCAGTACTGCTCCTGTAAATACATGTGTGTTAACTACAGTTTTTACTCATGTAATTACACAAGTATATCCTGAGAGTTGTAACAGCATGTTCATGTGATTACACACCTATAAAGAGCTGAAATGCTGTTTTTCTGATATTAACAGGAGGAGTATAATTACCTACATAATGAGATGCACAGGAAATGAAGACCATGAACACTAACATTTAGCTAGCTGTAGTAGTACCCTTGTGTTGTGACATGGTAACCTGTCACGTGTCCCTCTGGCTCGGAAGCATCCATGAACTCCATCTCCCAGTATTCTCTGGGGGATCATGTGACTGATCACTCTCCATTTCGCTTCAATCATTGCTTACATTGACCGGAATACAGTTAGTTTAGTTTAGTTAGTTAGTTTCGTGTTTGACGAAGAGAAGATTATACAGTTTGAGGTGCATCCAGGAGTCAGAAAAGAGCAGGGCTGAGACTCACTGTTAGAAGCTCCAGGCGCCTCAGATAGAGCTAGCACGTTCTCGACCCCGGCAGCAGAGCCCTCACAGTGGGGCGAATGGGTGGCATCTCAGCGGGATAGTTGTAAAGCTAAAGCTACCCCACATGAGCACCACTCATCTCCCATTCATGTGCCCAACAGGTTTGTCCCACTCAGTGAGACACCCTCATTGAGCATGGAAATGCTGCCTCCCAAATGGACAGCACCATTAGTCTCTAGGGAGTTGTATTTATAGGAATTTAATGAGACTTCCATGTGACTTTACTATGTAACGTATGAAATAAATCTTCAGGTTGTTTTATTGTATTATGTGTAGTTGTGTTATATTAGGGTCTATGCACCTAATTATTATTCTTTGGGCAGTATTTTCATTCTCATTTATTCCTTATAAACTGGCATATGAAAAAAGAAAAAAAAAATATTTAAGACATTTGTTCAAGGGTTTTCTACCAATTATCCCCACATCTCCAATATTGACACACTTTCAGATATTTCCCAATTGTTCTGCATCAACCAGCCAACCCCAACCACAAAACACTTCCACCAAAACACATGTAGTGTGAAGTGTATGAAGTAAAAGGTGCAAAATCTCAAGAATACGGATTAAATATTTACTTCAGGATACAACTGTCCATGTGTAGCTAGAACTATGCAGTACGAAACCCAGTGTGGGAAAGTGAATGTACACCATCATTAGCTTCATGTTAAATAGACATAACAAATGCCTTTATGTTGTAGACATTTGCCTTATCTGTGGTACAAACGTATAAAGGCCATTACATTAAACACTATTATATAATGTGTGTGGCTGGTGCACATTCAAGATTATATGATTATATAAAAATGTAACAGTTCATGAAATTGTTATATCTTGTGATTTCATTTATGTTGGTACAGTAGAGGAACAAATATGTCCCATGCTGTTTTATATTGGAACATCTTCATAGCTCTGGGTAAAGCAGTGCAATACAATAGAAGTTTTTTAGTCCTTTCTTAACTGTAAATTGTTATGCTCATTAAACACACAGAGCATCAATATTTGGACAGTTTTATTTTTTAATGATGATTTTATTGTATGTAAATGTTTAACCACCACCATTGTACTGCTATTTTAAAAATGACATTCAGAATATATGTTTCTCCATGTTTATCTTTTTCAATTAATATTGTGATCATAAGCATTAAAGTAATTATCACAATCATCATGGTAAGTAATTAGTGTAATATAAGCATAAGCAATTAGCATGAATTTTATATATGTATATATGCTGGTACATGCATGATTACAGCATTATTAAAGAAAATATTGCCCACTACTTGCAAACGGAGTCTTACAAAGATATGCATCTTACATATCAGTTGTACTTCTCTGGCACTACAAGGACATTCTCATTTACTTCATACTGCACAGTGTCCCAGTTAAGAACATTCGGTTCTGGTCCCAACCACACCTTATCATTGAAGTGCCTAATCTGATCTCCTGTGAGCACATAATCCCACATGTTCATGTCTGTAATCTCACCTACAAAACTCTGCTTTTCATCAAAGCTACCAAGGAAAGAGTCAGCATCCTGACCCAGGAGAACAACACCACCAGACTGGACCTTGTGGTTTTGCCTGTACACCTGCAGAGTGCTGCGGCGGCCGTCCACCCAGAATGCAGTCAGACCCGTGCTGGATTCCCAGGTGACACACAGGTTTGTGCGGAAGATGGAGAGAAGTGGGACGGAATAGAAAGCACCCTCTGAGCTGCTTCTCAGGTATAAGGAGATGTTGCCCTTCTCCTGCCACACGTTAAGCTCATCATAGTCTTTGGTGCGATAAGCGAAGAGGATGGTGTCACGGTTCTGTTTGGAAACTACATTTGGATCCACAGACAGACGCATACACAGAGTAAAGGCCTCTAAATTCAGGGGCTTTAGAGGGGTGAGCTTGACAAAGGAATTGGCCGAGGGTTTTGGGAAAAGCAGCCCCTTATCATTCACACCACCTGAAAAGGCAAATAATGTTCTTTTTAATATGATACACACAGTTCTTTCATAGCAACTTTTGAGGTTGGACAAGCTTTACAGCTCTTATACTGGCAACAATCCCATTCGACCTAATATGAAACTTATTTTTGTCAAAATTCTTCACATCAGGCCCCTAATATCAAAACATAATGTTAACTTCGCGTTTAAAATGCTACACTGCTGGATTGTGTTGTTGCAGTTAATTAAAACCTGGCAGGTTGATACTGACATCGACATAGAATTTGCTACAACTTTAATGTTAGCTAGATAACAAAACGAAATCAATCCATTTTTGTGACCTTTCAGAAAACCATGTCAAAACTAACAAAGAATGAAGTTACATCAGTCATGTATAACAGATGGAATAGTTTGGTTTGAATCTAGTTTGAACACAGCAAATTGAACAATCATCAAGTTTTTTAAATATTCTATTGCTTCTGCTTATTTTGGGTAGTGTTTTTAAAGAGAATTGTCAGATCACAATGATTTCTGGGCAACCATTATGTTCATTTATCCCCTTGCCCCTACACTTGAGCTAATAAAATAAAGGGCATGTTAAAGTGAGTATTGGAATCCTTGCCATATGCTAAAGAATTTTTGTTTGTCTATTAACTATGCATTAAAAAATGTCTGACAAAAATGAAGCAAATCTAAAAACACAGCCAATTAGAAGAACATGGCCAAGTCTTAGCCACAATAAGCACAAGACTGATGAAAATATCAGCAATTTCAGACTAGTGATGCAGCTACTGTACCAGTGGTTCCAAAACTGTTAAAAAGCTCTCTGGAGCAAATATCTGAGAACCTCTGGTGCGGACTGACTGTTGGTGTGTATGTATATATATATATATATATATATATATATATATATATATATATATATATATATATATATATATATATATAAAAAAACAAATTAATAAAAAAAAAACACACCATATTAATGAATGAATTAATGAAAGGCTACCACACACTTGAAATCATTTTTTTTTTTTTAAACAAGGTGCACACACCGACACAGACATTCCCTCAGCTAACATATTGTCCAAGCCTTTTTATCACCTTGTATCTTTCTGCTCGAAAAGAATGAGTTTGTGATGAGGTAGTAAACTGACACTGAGTGAAATTAATGATTGGTAGTATGGGTGGGGGTTGGACACAGTATAAAACATTTACTTAGCTAGCTAGCAGCACAAAAACAGCTGAAGCCTGGGAAGTTTGCTATAGAACTAGAACCCTCCAGGACCGGAGTTCCCCACTGCTGCGATACACCTTGATTACTTGACAAATACTTTTGTATTATCCGTAATTTTGTAATGAGCCTGTAGTAGAAGTGCACATTATTGCATTACTGATGGATTAAGAATAGTAAGAGAGCTGACATTTCCTGTGAGATTGCTGTAGGTTATACAGATAACTGTTGCCATCATTTAAGTAAATCTCACCACAACATCGGAAATTTAAAACAAGCATCCTACATCTATCATGCTCTGCTAATGATCCAGCACTAACCTAATCTAACACCAAACAGGAAAATGCCTAGATACAGGTGAGCAGTTCTGCACGGACTATATTTAATAAAATTAATTGATCTGAACTCAGACATCTCAGAATTACATCTATATTCTTAAATTTGTTTTATAATACATAGTTATGATAAGAACACAGAAAACAAAAACTTACTTTCACAAACAGAGGTCAGAGTCAGGAGGACACACAGCAGAACAAGTGCAGACTTCATTTTACTGCAGATATTTTAGCAGAACCGGTTAGCCATCATCACAATTTACACACAGCTGACAATCAAGTTTAACATCAGTAAAACTAAAGTGGCTGTAAGTGATGAATAAGAAGCACAAGTGTGAATACTCACCTGGTGGGTATGCCAGTCAGACACTCTAGAAGTTTCTATCTTAGTTGGGTCTATTTTCCAGTCTAAAGCTGGGCACTGCAGCTTCTGTATTTATGGCATGTCATATTTACACATTTCCAACATTCTGTTTGGTTGTTAAACTCTTGCATAACTTAAATGTTTTGTTCCAGAGAAACTGTGTTCCAAAGAAACAGTTCTTCCAGGACATCCGGGTGTACTGTAGAGTATTAGGGTGTAATTTTGTTCTGAAAAGATAAGGACACAGGGATGAGAACAAGGTAGGAAAAAAAAACAAACAAATGTAAACTCTAAACTGTATAAAAACTGTATAAAATCTTAACTTGCAAAAGGAAAAAATTAAAAAAATAAACACCAAACAACACATAAGAGTAAGATCAATCAAGAAAAATAGGAGACAGTGTGAAAAATAAGCAATAGAATAATAAAAGGATCATTTTATAATGAATAACAGTTTTTCACAGTCCCACACCCCCTTGAAAGCCTTTTGCAGTTTTGCAAAGTAATGAAAGAAGTAAAGCAGGTGAGCCACCATTTCAAACAGATGTTAAAATATGTATCAGCAGTGTCTTCGGCTAAAATGAAGTAATATATGTAACAAAATATGTACAATATTATGAAGAAAAATTCTGTAAATGATTCTACAAATGAAAGTTCCTGGGACAAGCTGTAAGTCCTGATCAGTTGAGAACCTGAAGCAGCAGATGGATGGCTGTAGGAAGATTAAACCTTTGGTACAGGTTTAAAATACTAACTTCATCAACTAAAACAGATACAGGCACATTTATGTAGACTAACTGCATTTGTATAAGCATTCAAGCCGCTCAAATCGGGTAAAGATGTTGCTTTCATACCTGAGAAATACTGTTTTGTTTCTGGCCTCTAATGGACTCAGGTGGTCAGCAAGGAGCAGGGTGGACAAAATACTCAACTTCTTACTCATTGTGTAAGAGACAAGTGTTACTAACTTGAGTAAAAGCAGAAATACTCTCGGTTAAACACTACTTGGGTAAAGGTATTCAGTCAAGTTGAGTACTTGATCTTAAATGACAAATATCAAAAGTAAAAGTACTGAATATTATTATAGAACTTCTGGATGAATATGTTCCTTTAAGGAGACCTGTGTGGCTACAGACATGAACAGTTAACTCCAATGTCTGCAGCCACACAGGCCTCCTTAACAGAAAGTATTCATACTTTGATAACAGCATTTTCTTTGATAAGAACTTTGCCTTTGTTAGTTAATGCTTATTGCCTAATCTTTCTTTTACTTCACTACAGTGAGAGAGAGAGAGAGAGAGAGAAAGAAAGAAAGAAAGAAAGAAAGAAAGAAAGAAAGAGAAAACGATGTGTACCAAATCCTTTATAATGTCTCCGAGTGCCCATGGTGGAGTGAACATAGCTAGCAAGAGGAGAGGGGGCGAATAGGAATCGATGGTCTGGACATGGAGTGAATTGTCAGTAGAAGTTTGGGATGGAGATTTTAGTGTACCTAACAACTGTGGCAATTTAAAGCACTGCTTACATTTTTTTTACTAAACTAAACTAAATTAAAAAAGGTGCATGTAGTGGAAATCACGCCGCAGTGGATTCAATCAAGGAGTATTTTCTCTACAGTGAAAATCAGATGTGGTTATTATTTGTGGATTGTTATTATAATTTAGTTTCATAAGACATCAGTTAGCTCAGCTAGCTAAAAGCCACCTGCTAATGCTAGGTACATTTGTCAATATCAACTTAACTAGCATGAAACAAGCTCTCTCTATCACATATATGCCATCAAATTTTGCAATATCCTTGTTTAAAATTATATTTCTATTTATATATAAATAGTTTGTTTATTTCTAGGTAACCACCAGCTAGGTAGATAATGCTAGACTAGCTCAGTGTTTCCCAGTCCTGGTTCTGCATGTATTTGTAACACTCCATAACTGATCAGACGAACAATAGACGAATTAGAAAAAGAGGCTTTACTGACACTTTCCAAACTTGTAGTCAAAACACAGGCACCAATCTGATCCAAAACAGTCCAAAAACACACACACAAAAAAAAAAAACAAACAGAAGGCAGACAAAATCCAAAAGGGTCAAAAATCCAGAAAAACAAGAAGGCAAAACAAGAAAAAACTCAGCAGCTCACAAGAAAGCAATACCTCACGAAGACCTAACTAAAGCCTGGGCTTTAGGTTCTAACTATCAGGGGTCACATGAACAAGGAAGACAGGAGAAACATATCAGTACTCTGGAGAAGCAGAACGATGATAGGTTGTGGAACGAGAGTCAGCAGTCACGTGATCCTCAAGGGAGTTCTGGGAGTTGGAGTTTTCAGCTAGACCTGATCCGGATGGTTGTGTGACAAGATTAGTGCTTTCCTACCTCGACACACTCATGCTCTGTTGGAAACAGGCTACTATGTACTGCTCACATACTAATGTGACCAAATATAGTAAGTAGTATGCAGTATGTGACCAAGATGAATTTCCTCAGTACGCCAAACATGCCTGGATGATTTACTACTTCGGCCAAATATTCTAGTACACATGCAGAGCTACGTTCACTATATACTACATTCCAGAATGCAACATGACGGTGTCAGGAGGACGTAACCGCTGACGTATCTGCCTGGTTTGCTCCAAAGAATTTAATAGTCTGCAATTCAGGCTTATATGGATATATATATATATATATATATATATATATATATATATATATATATATATATATATATATATATGGATTGAATAAAAGGAAGTAATCCATCCTGCTGCTGCACTCAGTGCAACGCTAAAGCCCCATCAGTTTTAGCTGCTGGTCTTGAGGTGGGTTTGGTATTTAATACAGTTAACGTACTGCAGAGAAAACATGGTTAAAACAGGAACGTACTAAAGTTGGTCTCAACCCAACAGTCAACCCAGCGTCGTCTTTTCAGGCTTCTGTGTGGAATTACACATCTTATTATTCAGTTAAACTAGCTCATATTACCAACTACGAATGTAATGAACATGAAACGACAGACCTTTTAGCAAACATAGGAACACATAGAAAACCACACAGGATGATCACACAGCTGACATTTTTTAGATAGGAGGCTTTGGGGATGAGTAGAACACACCCTCCACTCTGTCATGCTATCTTTCAAAACTCAGCAGGCAAATTCTCTCTTGACCAAAATATATTCAAATTTGTTGTGAAAGAGCTGAAAAGTGGCAACAGTTGCTTATCAGTAATTGAGAAAAATGTGGTGGGTCTTCAGATGTGTCTGACTGGCTCAGTGCCTCATATTGTCATGCCCCTGTCCTGTAGAACAGCACAGGGGTTTTGTCGTATACCGGACACTATTTTGTTACTATGAACAGTTGCATGCAGTATACAGTATATACTGGTGCAGTCAGCAGCACTGTATTGTAGTATTCCATTCTGAATGCACTCTCAGGTCTACTGATTAAGGGGTTGTTAACCCAATCAAATCTAGCATCTTGCTAGTGATCCATTCAGAAACTTTACCTTATTTATCTTAAGTGTGTGAGTTACGGTGCATATATGTGTGCATTTGCCAGAGTGAAATGTGTTGAATCAGCACCTTCCTTGTGTTACCGCGCTTTCTATCAGTGTATAGAAGATGTACAAGGCTCCCTTTTCATTTTTTCCTGTCAAGCGAAGAGTCACAATTTAATGAGCTGGTTAGTTGGATCAGGTGTACTGGGAGCAGAGAAAACACCAAAATTACATGTTATATATAGTGCATTACAGCATTAGTGTCTATAATGTAACAGGATTATACAAGGCATTATAAGTAATTAGGTATACCATACTGCATTACGAACACACGATTCAAGAACTGTTATCAAACAAAGTTTTTGTGAGGTTGCAGCACAGGTGAAAAAATCTCTAGCTCTCTTCTGCATTTCTGAAAATATGGTGATGTCCTTTCATGCTCTGTTTCAAAGAGACAGTTGTTCTCCAGCTAATTTGCTGCAAATACAACTTTATTAAATATAACTTCCGACAGGCTCTCTTGTTTACACAGGCTCTTTGCATGAAAACTGCACCCATTTAACACTTCCTTGTATCTAGATTTCAAGGAAAGATAATTCCAGTCAAAGTTTCAAATGAAAGTCAATACAGCTAACAAAAGTAATTCAGTGCTCATTTCATAATGTCACAATTCAAACAACTGAGAGCACATGACTGTAAAACTGACACCCAACACCTTTCTGGGTATTAAATATCCAGGCTCAGGACTGTAGCCCTGAATATTTTTTAACCAGCCCTGAATGATGAATAATGCATACATTTCACCCAACTAAACTACACTCTCATTGTCCATGATTTCATTCAGGGGCGCATCCATCCACTTCTCTAACTCAGAAATTTCTGTGGAAAAAAAATCAGCTGTACTCCATTGTAAAACAGGAATCATTTTAATTTATAAATGCAAGTAAACTGGCTGTTTTAAAATGTCAAGTTCACTGAACATGTAATAGTCAGTTGACAGATCAACATGCTACATTCTATTAACTCATTTAAAGAAGAAATCTAATGCAGCCACGTTACTTACTTTTTTTAAGCTAAAACTTCAACTTAATTTTGAGTTTATATTAAAAAATACTTTTTTAAAAAACATCCCAACCCAAACTTAATGCTGTACGTGAAAATATGTTTACTCAATGTTTTATCAGCTTGTCAGGCTACAGAGTTCTTAACGGTGTTAAACGAACCAGATGGATTGCTTTGTTTTAGTATTTTATATTTAAAATATTGTTTCTAGTTTGGTTTTAGGAAAGAAGAGTTTTATCGAATGACTGTTCAGCTTCTGAAGTATATGAACTGTAAATGAAATGTTCCTCTGTCCGCAGGACATTAGCAGGGTAGACATGCAGAAGAGACTGAGGTAGAGAGAGAGAGGAATTGTGCAGAGGACTTTGATGATGGCATTTATGAGGAAACATCCCCATTTTTTACACTTTATTGTTCACTTTCTGTTAGTGTTTTCTTATTTTGTTTTATTTTTGGTTTTGTTTATAAGATACAATCAACATTGCTGAA